CCCCCCTCTCTCTCTCTCTCTCTCTCTCTCGCTCTCTCTCTCCATCCGCGGTGTCTGGTGTCCCCCCCCTCCCCTCGGTCACCCTCTCCTCTCCTGCTCCCCCTCCCGACATGCACCCAGAATGTGGTGCGGCCGGGCGGTTGTGGTGGGGGCACGTCACCGGCCTGCAGCGCGCTCAGCGTGGCCGCGGATATCCCTGAAAGCTCTGAAATTATTCACGTGACTTTTGGGCGCGGGCGCTGCAGGAGGCGGCGGGATTTGTGTGTGTATGTATCTGTGTGTGTGTGTGTGTGTGTGTGTGTGCTACGGCCGGGCTAAACGCCTGACGACGGTGGTACCTGCCGCCCCCTGTCGGGCAGTCCTGACAACTAGCACGTCCTACCCTTGGGTTTATCAACTCATCTCTGCAATATTTGAAACGCCATGTTGAATGATTCTAGAGATCAGGCGGGAACTCTCGTACCCACCGGCCTGCAGGACGATGAGGAGGGAGTAACAATAAACGATGCTAGAAACAACTTCCTCCCTTCAAACGCCTTGTTCACACTTTGCCTCTCTCTTTTTAGCAAGTGAACCTACAATAAACCCTATTAAACATCGTCAATTTTTTTAAATTTTTGTACTGAATGCTGCAGGGGTGAGCAGCCACTGCCTCGTCAATGCAGACATTGAGTGCAGGCATTGAAAACAAATGCAACAGACATGCGCGCCAGTAAAAAGGGTTGAATCTGTAGTTTTTGCTATAGCGAGCTCAGTGCACCGACCGGGGCCACACTTCGAACAGAGCGACAGCAAGGCGTCGTCCGCCGTGCGCGCATTGTGTAAAGCATTGCCACAAGGTCAGTCAGCCTTACCTTCGGGTCCATACCTTCTGGTGGGGGCCGCGCGGGGGCGTGGTGCGTCCGGGCGGCGCTGCTCACACACTCCGACGCGATGCACAAGAGTGCGGCGGTGCGCGGGACGGGACCGCCTGCCAAACGAATGCGTTGCCTTCTGCTGCAGGACTACCACCAGCATCTGCTGGAGCAGAGGAGCAGAGGGCTCGTCCCAACTATTGCACACACACATACGCTCACACACACACACATACGCACACACACACACAACCACACGCACGGACACACACACACACAACCACACGCACGGACACACACACACACGCACCATCCAGAACGCGCGCACGCACACGCACACTGACAACGGGGGGGAAAATGAAGCCTTGTTTTTTCGTCGAGCCAAAAAGCAGAGAGGGTGAATGTGTGAGCCTTGAGCTGCTGCAGCTGACATGAGGCTTCGTTCTCTGCGCCTGGCATTTCCACACTCGGGACTATGGAGAGTGGTGTGCGAGTATAAAGTATATTCGTAGTTGCCACTATGCGCCTTATTGTGGAGTTTGATTTCAGACTCGCGATAATTATTTATCACGTGCCACAACTCCTTCCCTTTCACAAAAGTAAAATTACAAGGAAACGTTGGGGTACACGCTGCGTGATACGATCCTCCCTCCGGCAGGGCCCCCTCGGGGCTCGTGGGCCCCGGGTCGGACTTGGCGGCATGAATATGCAGACCAGTGTCAGGCGGGGGCGGGCCGGGGGCG